CCTTTGCTGCGTTGTACGGAACAAGCAAGGTCCGTCGACAATTACGCTGCGAAGTAAAGCGCGACGAATCTAGCTAACTGACTTTCCAGGTCTTCTTGCAAGGAAACATGGACAACGACGGCCAGCTCTCCACCCGATTCAACTACCGATGGTCCGATAAGCTTGTGTCGAGAACCCAATTCCAGGCCGCCCCTGGCGCTGGTCAGGAGATGCTCCAGTTCGAGAACGAATACACCGGCGACGACTTCACGGCTTCTCTCAAGATGCTCAACCCTTCCTGCCTGGATGGCGGTGTCACCGGTATCTTCATTGGTAGCTACCTCCAGTCGGTCACTCCTAAGCTTGCCCTCGGCCTCGAGACCGTTTGGCAGCGCCAGGCCATGACCCAGGGTCCCGAGACTGCCACCTCATACTGCGCCCGTTACAAGTCCAACGACTGGGTTGCCACCGCCCAGCTCCAGGCTCAGGGTGCTCTGAACACCTCCTACTGGAGACGTCTGTCCGAGAAGGTTCAGGCTGGTGTTGACCTGTCTCTCTCGCTCGTCCCCGGTGCCGCTGGCGTCATGGGTGGTTTCCAGAAGGAGGGTGTCACCACTATTGGTGCCAAGTACGACTTCAGAATGTCTACCTTCCGCGCTCAGGTCGACTCCAAGGGCAAGCTTAGCTGCCTGTTGGAGAAGCGCATTGCCGCCCCCGTCATGATGACTCTGGCTGCTGATGTTGACCACTTTTCTGTAAGTTCAACATGTCGAAATTAGAGCAGTTCGTATGTTAACAAATTATCTAGCAACAAGCAAAGATCGGTGTCGGTATCTCCATCGAGGCCGGTGGTGAGGAGCTCCAGGAGCAGCAGGAGACTCTGGGTGCTCAGGGAACCCCCAACATCCCCTTCTAAACCTGAAGACAAACACGAGGATGGCTTGGTGCATAGCCAAGTCTGAACCGAAGCTCCGCTCCTAATCGAACCCAATAATTGATGTTTTTCCCCGGCGAGGACAAGAAACGATGTCGACGAACTTGATTTTCTTTCGCAAGTTCTCATTCTTATACTGCTGTCTTAGTACAAACGACTTCACGCCTCGACAGCACGGACCCGACAAACCAGAGTATCGGATACTCCCAAACCCCCCTCTGGAGGTCTTCTACCTTTTGGTCCGCCCGTCACGCTCATGTTCGTTGAACCTCGACTTCTCTACTTGGCCGGATAGAAAGACCTGTGTATATTACGCTCAGCCCGAGCACAAGATTCAGGGCCAATATGGTGGTGTATTGGTCGGCTTGGATGCATTTTTGGGAGGCTTGGAACGGCATACCCGAAGCGGAGTGGCTGATGCCACAACCCACGAGAGCATCTACTTGAGGCTGCGCATTATGAATGGCCTCCGTGATGAACAACTCTCGTATGTACTGTGTATGAAGGAGATAGAATTCAATGCTGATACAACATCACTTGCCATGTACATGGGCGCATTGTGAATGTGGTGGGAGCGCAAAGTCTTGGGATCGCATTACGTTGAGTAGTTTGCTAATCTCGCTAGATATCCAGGCTACTGCATCTTCTTACTCGGAAGCAATTTGCTTGTATAGCGCCTTCAGTTCATCGTCGCTCATTTCCTTAATGCCAAACAGCGAATTGTCGCTCTTTGCCCAAGGCTGGGCAAACTCCTTTTTGGCGCACGCATATAAGAGCTGTGGGTACATCACATCGGGCGTCATGATACCCTTCTTGATAGACTCCATACAGTTCGCGTAGATGGCGTCAACGTCGACGGTGGTCGTCTCCCACGAACCGCTCACGGCCTCCTGAGCGAGGGCGCCCATCTGCTTCTGCGACTTGACGGCGGACTGAATGTACGCGACTCTGTTGGCCGTCTCCTCCGGGTGCAACAAGGTCCCCACGACAGCCTTGCCTACGTCGGCGAGCATCGTGTAGGGAATGACGTTCTCGCCGTCGTTGAAGAGCGAGAGCTTCTTGTTCTTGACGTCGACGCCCATGAAGCTGGACCGGATGCCCCAGTCGAGGAAAGGTCCGTTGGTGACGATGGTGTAGGTGAACTTGCCTTCGTTCTCCTGGGCCTTTTGCTGCATGTGGCCGTGCGTCAGGGCCTTGATGCCGAAGATGGGCAGGCTCGGCACGTGGGCGCGCGTGGGGTCCAGGCCGAAGTCGGGCGGGATGTAGCGGTAGACGCCCGCGGCGACGGCGGCGTCGACGACGCGGGTTGCGACTTTGGGGTCGAAGCTGTTCGTCGAGTTGATGAGGGCGTCTTGGCCCTTGATGGCCTGGGTTAGGGAGTCGAGGGACTCGTAGTCTACTTCCTTGACTGCGACGCCCGCGGGGAACTTTTGGGAGCCGGTTTTGCGGGTGAGGATTGTGATGGTGAATTTGTTGGAGTCCATGAGGGCCTTCAGGAGGGAAGGGCCTAGGTTGCCGCCGGCCTGGACTGTATCAGTGACTATTCATTGTGGGAGATGAGGAGATGCTTACGCCGGCGAGGGCGACGTTCTTGATTGTTGGTGCCATGATTGTACTTAGCAGTGATCTCGTATATCTTCTTGAGAAACAAAATCAGATCCCTCAATGAAAGTTTAAGCTGGGCGCAAGCTCCTTCTTATGAGCTCCTGTAGCTGAGCTATCTACTATGAGAGCAAGGATGAGAGCTGTGTCGCGTTACGTTCCGGACCGCAAGCTTCGAAAGCATATGCCGCTGTGACGCTATTCCGTTCCAGGCTCGTCTGAAGGTGAGCCGGTTGCCATTCGTGTTCGAACCGCCCACGGAAAGTAGATGCCCTCGCTCTTTCGCGCCTTTGAGCTCTGACCCTTTTGTCTTCGTGGGATGTGGTTGCACGTCCGGTTCGATGTTCTCGAATACGTGCTGCGGCGGGTGTCCTTGCGTTCCTGCACTGCGCTAGGTTGCTGTCAGGCTGGCCTCCTGGAGCTCAATTCATACGTGTCCCTAAAGATTGGATTCTCTGAGGCCATGTCTGCTCATAGATATTGTCATCGGCTAGCTACATTGAGTGAGCGTGAATAGGCCGGCGGAGTGATGAGTCTTCATAGAGAAGACAGAAACCGCCTTTGCAAGTTAACACACGGCTCTCACATCTATTCACTGCTCAGATTCGAGAGACTTGCTCTATTGACTCTACAGGTGTCTTTATATGCATGGCATTAACCTTCAATGGATGAGATGAAGAGAGCCCGTGGCGGGTAAGCCGGATACGGACGTCTCGCCATGTATGACATTAACGGGACGGAGGCGCAGACGTACTTTAAACTCAATTTGAAGAAAGAAACAAATGAGACATTCCCGAATCTAAAACCTGAAGCTGACAAAGAGCAACTAGCTCAGAGAAGTTTCTGAAGCGCGTGGATACGCCGACACGTTACGAATACCCGGTTGCGGTCGGTACCGGAGTGGGGCCCCAGACACCGGAGGTCCGTTGCCTGATCTTCGGGATGGTCGGGCGAGGTTGGGATACCCCTTCATATGACACTGGCCCGCCAAGTGGGTGACAGAATAGAATACCGGGGGGCAAAAGATTACAATACTTACGACCTATTTATCATGCTTAGCTTTCATGTTCTTAGCTTTCTCGTTCTTGACTTTCTTATTTTTCTCATGTATATTTCTGCTATTGCTCCTATCTTTCATATATCCACTAGCAAATACTCTCTAAAAGCATAGAATCAAGAGTAGTAGCAAAGAGCTAGGAAAAGAGCTAGGGTTCATAGGGTAGCGAACGATTTTGTTGCCCACTTGCCTGCTAACCCGCTTACTTTACTTAATGCTCTTATTCTCTTTACTGCGAGCAATAGGTGTGCGTATGAGTGGTTCTAGTGTCTCTTGTCCCTTTTGGTCACCCGGTTCATGGCTTGACCGGTCTTGCTGGTAGTGAGTTGGGCTTGAGGGATATTGGAGATCTTGCTATCTGCAAGTTCACATAAGAGACATTGTCTCCTTCGCAAGCATTTTCAAGTTCATAAAAGGCATCTTAACACCCATACTTACAAAACGGCACATGCACTGTCTACCTAGTCAACCCGGATAGGAATTATCGTCGAGTTGTTCAAGTCGCCTATACCACTTCATACTACCTCAACATGAGGTAGACTAAAAAAAGATAAAAAGCAGCCCAACTACAGCGCATGTGTGTTTGCAAAATCGAGCAAAACGAAAATGCGGCGACCGAGACTCGAACTCGATGCATAAGCAAACGCCAATGGAAGAAATGGGAAGCTTATATGTTACCCTTACACCACCGCCGCAATGGAAGAGGAGCGTTGTTTGTTCCTGCAGGTCCGAGGCATAAGCACGCCTTATGTAGGAGGGTCCTGAGGGGTAGGTAGAGCTAGGCTCGATTGAGAGCGTCCCGGCCAACTAACCGTCAGGTAGGACCAAAAGGCTGAGAGTGAGCGGGTGTAGCAGAGCGGTTTGCAGATGCTGGTATTTCGTCGGGAACAGCGTTCACTTAGTTTCACTAAGTGTCTGGGAGGATAAATAATGAAGAATATTCGTAACTCGAACAAGGCGAAGAAAAGAAGAGAAAGGGGAAAGGAACAATTGTTGGAAAGGTGAAAAGTGAATTGTACGGGAATGGGCTAGAAGAAAAAAATATTTTGGCTGCTAGCTGCTAAAACAGAGTGGTGGTCAGTGCACCGGCAACCGCCACTCAGGAAAACCAAAAGCCTAACTAACCCGCACTGCTGTTCCGAAAACCATCACCATGCTTGTCCCACCAGGTCTCCTTCGTGTCCCTGTTTGTCTCGTCTCTTTGCGACCGCCGTTGTCGGAAAGCTGGAAAGGTAAGGCAGAGACAGGGAAGCTCATTGAGAAGAGATCTAGCTGATAAGCTGGACTAAGTTCCCTGCAGTCCAAGTATTATCATCACTCTTTATCTCTGCAGTAGAAGCTGCTCAACGGACCCCTAGACCTCGATCGTTCCATTGTTCCGAGTTCTATTCTTCTTGATCTATAGAGTCCACCCAAGTGTGATTGCACCTATGACGTAAATGCCCTTGACAAAGTCCTTCCATATAAGTGTCGGTCTCCGTTGGGACGAAGCCACTCAGTCGTTATTATATCATACCACATCAAACCATGTGGCCTTGAATGTGCCATCGCTCTAAGAGGCCGGCGATCTCCGATGAACTCGCCCTCTTTGGACCAGGCTCGCTTTTCAGCGTATTCCAGACCGAAGAAGCGGGCGCCAGAGAGGATGGCTTCGGCCAAAGACGAGTACGGACCTTCCTGGCTTATGCCCTCATCATCCTTCCGTAGCGCGAGAGGGAGCTTTTCCCAATCGATCACGTACGGTTGTAGTGGTCCCCGAGGGGCCCCTTGGCTCGAAGGTAGTTCAAAGACCAAAGCAAAATCTCGTTCGCCGACTGGGAACGGATCGCCGCAACTTGGATAGGTGCAACGCAAGAAGAACTGCCAAGGCTTATCATGGGGGCTTCCTGGGACGTTGGCAGGCGGTGGCATGGTGATGACAGTGGTAAATGTACCCTTTTCATGCTTCGAAGACATCATCGGAGGAAACGTTTCGACAATGTTTATCGGAGGGGCGCCTAGGAGGGATCTCGTAGGAGGGTTCGTGATAGATATTTGCCAGGCGCCTGCGGCCAGTGATCGCTCCCATGAAGGCTCTCGCACGATGACCAGCTCCTCATAGTTAGCCTCTCCCAGGCTATTGAGGCTACTTTCGGAGAGCGCCACTGGCCCAGAGGGAGACCTGACATACTCGTCGCCCGAAGGAGAGTTGTTCGAAAACAGCGGAAGACAGATCCTGCGATCTTGATCGTCAAAAACATTCAACAGCGCGTAGTAGCAGTTGGGCGCGTTGTGCGATCCGCTCTCAAACCCAGACAGCAGGAGAAGAGATAGATTGATTCGGAAGCCCCTGTTGGTCATCCGAAACTCCGAAGAGGACCGTTCTGTGATATTGTCAGTGTAAAATGAAGCGGCTCTCGTCATTGCAGCCGGTGATGTCGCAAAGCAATGTCCTCGTGTGCTGAGAGAATTTCCGAGACCCCAGGAGGCCAGTAGACTTTGGTCAGTTGTTTCCTTGATGATCTCCAGTTGCAGACGTACGAACGCCATGTCGCCCTCTCCGTAAAGAAGGGGCATATTGATGTCGAAAAGACCAAGGAGACAGTAAGCCATATCTTCTTTACGTGAAGTCTGTCTTCTACTTGCCCACGACATTCTCTGTGCCAGGCAGACATCTTGGAACGGATGATTATGTGCCAAAATAGCTTCCGGTATGCCAGTGATTTCTGACATCTCATATCGCAAGGAGTCTTTATCTCCCACGAGCTTCCACTCCTGGTTATAGAAGTACATGTGTCTTGGGGCCAAGAGCTCTTGCAGTGTCCAACCCCTAGTAAACCATCTGCACTGTGCGAAGCTTACGGAGGGTTTCGTAACATCTGATGGCTGGAAATCTGACAGAAACACAAAACAAATCCGCGCCTCTTGGTACCATCGAAACATGGAGTTGATGGCTTCGGAAAGTTCAGCACTGCTGCTCTTGTCTATACAGCATGTGTCGACCCAGACATATTGTAACAAATGTTCTTTTGTAAGGTGTGCGCTCTGGACAATCTTGTGGAATCCGGATCGTTGTCGTAAATCTTTGGCTTTTTTGGCCGAGTTCATCGTGGCTGAAGCCATCAGGGCTTCGACAGAAGCAAAGGCTTCGATATTTTTCTCATATTCGTGGAGCCAGCAGAGATCTTGAAACGTGACTTCATCTTTTCCCCAAGTATGAGAGAGAATTGTATAATGAGGTATCTCGTCATCAAAGAATTCCTCCAACTGGAGAGTATTAACATTGATGAGCCTCATGATTTCTTCGTCTCAGAGAACCTAGAACCTGTCCTGCTTCGCAAGTCCGGGTCTAAAACCAGATGGTGTTGACTAGGACTGGCTTTGCTTGTACAGTCAGTAACGCAGTACGTTGATCCATAACGAAGATGTAATAGTACACGGCAAAACGTTGAATTCTCACCTAGATCGATTCGGCGACGAACTCAGAAGGTAAGTCGACTTGAACACTTCGGGTGCCGTGACACAAGTTGACAAGTTGAGGGGAATAGTAAAGAGCAACCCAGGGCTTCCTCTTCTTGGCTACCAATTAACAAGACGGTCCCAACTGGGCCGCACCAACACGTGAGGGGGACGCATGATAAACGAGGCTGCCTTCCGCCAGCCAATGGAATGGGGAGATAAATCCATGTTCTAATGTATGCACGGTATGTACCAATCGATTCCCTCTAGTGCTACCAAAAACTCCAGTAATGCTATAACTGACATGATACAAACGATTACGCCATAAAGCGCACGAGAGAGGAGAGATCTACGTCTGGGAAGTAGTCAATGACCAAGGCGATGCCGGGCTGTTACCCGCGCCTTGTGCCGTCTAAACGACTTCTAGTCAAACAAAGTGTATTGGGAGTTGCCTGGCGCCTGTCTGTTGCTCTCATTGTACGACGGGGGCGGCTGGATCTGCGGTTGAGACTGCGAGGGTGCAGCGGGGAGGGCAGGGCGGGCGACGGCAGTCTGCTGAGTCCACTGCGCCGTCTTGACCACCATCTTGGCGAAGTACTGCTGAATAAATGACTCACTGTGATATGTTAGCTCAAGTCTGGAGATCCTCGGGGCATGGAATCACTAACGTATAGTAGCTGTGGTCCGAATTATGAGGTTGGACCAGGTTGTGCGCAAGCTCGTGAGCCAACACCACCCACCACCACACAGCCGCCTCGGCCTTTGCTTCGCCACTCTGGGTCTTGAGGATCTTCTCCGCATGGAGCTGCAAGAAGAAGCGCAAATTGCAGAAGACACTGCCGTTGCTATTAAAAGCAATCGTTGAGCCTGACTCGTCGTAAAAGATGTGAAGAACGCGTGGTGAAAGAGAGTAAACGCCGCCGACCTCACTAAGAAGACCAGCAAATGCGTTGATGGGGCCGTGGTTCCTCGAGAGAAATTGAGCCGAATCCATGGACAGGTTCTTGGAGACAAAGACTTTCATACTGTTCGATGCCTCCGCCGCGAAAACGATATTCTGCGCGGGCGTGCTGTCACAGTAAGTGGCCTGTTCCTTCACCTCGTTGACGCTCGGTGGCGAGAACACGCTGTTGGAGTCATGAGCCCTGGTAGAGTTGATGGCGTTGAGCAAGTTCTGCCCCACGGTCGCTGGATTGGTCACACGGCCATCATCGGGTTTCTTCTCTGTGTTGCTGCTAGGTTGGTTCGTGATGCTTTGTGACTGCGGCCGACTTTCAGGAGGATTGTCCATGAACTTTTGAAGCTGGTCCTGCGCTTCATCGTTCTCGTTAGCATCGAAGCCAAACCGACGAGTCAGGTTCGAGAAGAGCCCCTTGCTCTTCCGCGACTGCTGTGGAGGGGGTGATCGATGAACCTCTTCGGGGCTGTCGTTCCCGAAAGAGCCCGGCATAACCGGATCTGGTGTCTTTGCGGTTTGTCGAGCAGCCTCAGCAGCCTTTGCTTGCTGGCTCCATTCTTTCTCTTTCTCTTGTATCCGCTTCTGTTCAGCCTCCAGTGCCTTGCGACGCTCCTCCTCGGCAACTCTTGCCTCGGCCTGCTTGGCACGAAGGATTCGATCGACATTGTATCCTCTGGCTCTCAAGGCGTAGAGGTCGAGGTTAAGGAAAGGCTCGAAAAATAGATAGGCCTGCTGGTTTGGCCGTGATAGGAGAAGCTGGCAGATAGCCTGACCAACCTGATACATGTCAGGCTTCTCCTCAGCTGCGACGTAAAGAATCCAACTTGAGCCCGACTGGGCGCTGGCGGCGGATCTCTTTTCCGTGTGAGATTGGCTGTGGCCCCTCAGTGAACGACGAAGTGCGACCGACCGAACGAGTTCAACACGCAGGCTCTTCTCCAACCACTTGGCATCATGTTTGATGTAGTCCCGTCGATAGTTTGCATACTCGTGAAGGAAGATTTTGGACCGCTCCAGTACATGTTTCCGAAGAGCAGCTGCTCGGTCCTGCTTATCCGCGTGAGGGCCAATTCTTACTTCCTCTTCCACGAGCGAGCTCAACGTCTGAGCGCCAAGCTGATGATAGAATTCCTCCAGCACTTCCTCTTCGGGCGCAGTGATCAGGTAGTCCTTGAACAAGCGGTAGCTGATGATGTCGTCCAAGATGACGATTCGATTCGCAGTGGCCAGCTGGTACTGCTTGATAGGAGCATCGTCGTCGTCCACTTCAATAAGCTTTTCCTTGGATGGCGGCGATGGGATCTCCTTGGCTGCGAGTAGGAAGGGAGAACTTTTCATCTTGCGAATAAGCTCTTTGTCTCTCTTCAACGTCGGCATGTTCTCTGCTAAAGACTTCAGAAGAGCGAGGTACTTATCCGGGCTCTGAAGAATGCTGAGAAGTCGTGCAGGTTCGGTGCAAGCTAAATTTGCTATCTCTGGCTTGCTTGGTTCCTCCTTTGCTCCACACTTGTAGAGGAATGTGTTCGCATTCGTCCCGAAGTCGACAAAATCGAAAATGTTACCGTATGTCGCCGAAGTGCCCAGGTAGCATCGCTTGGGACTGAGGTGGGTGACATACGAGCCACTCTTCTCGCCTGGATCGCGAGCCTGTCGTGTAACGGGAACAATGGGTGCATCACGCAGCTTGGATAAGCTGCCTTCTCCAAGATCGCTGTTACGAAGGGCGAAATACTCAAAGAGAGTGATGGCCATTTCTTGATCCTGAGGTGGCTTGGCCAGCAGACGAGACACACACTCCGTAATAGGCGGGTCTCTAACCACCCCAAACTTGTTGGCATGCACGTGAAGATCTTTCTTCAAGATGTCGAAACCCAGGATTGCGGCACGCTCGTTGGTGAAGCAAGCCGAAGGCGTGACCAACTTGCTGCCCTTCTGAATGGGCAAGAAAGCCTTGCGACTATCGGCGAGATTGAAGGCTCCATAACCGTTGAGGTGATGGTTTGCAATGAAATAGGTCATAGCGGACGTTCTGAGCTCAGCATCCGTAGAAGCCATCATGTTGACCATTTCAATCACAGAAGGGTATGGTCGCAGGCCTAGGATGGCCAGGAATCGGCCCTCGGGGCTGTTGGCTCTATAGCTTCCGGGCGGGCCAGGCCACTGTAACACAGGCAGCCGAAGAGTTCTAAGTGTATCCTTTGGCTCGAAAAGCTCCGAGACCTTGTACAGCTCAGTTGTGCCCTTGGTCGGCTCCATTCCTTTCGCTCCATCTTCTGCCGGACAGAAACGAGTATCCTTAAGCTTCGTCATGTCGGCGGCGGGAATGTCATCCTTGACTGAGGCGAGATATTTGATGAGCTCCATGTGACTCCACCTCTGCGCACCCTCAGCCGAGGGGCTCAGTAATCTCGAAAAGATGGTGTCAAGGTCGACCGTCTTGCGCACTCCAATTGCCGAAAGAAACTTGTCTTTCAGGCCTTGACAGCCTTGGATGATGGGCAGATCATCAAAAAGCTTGACAGTGGGGAAGAATGAGTCGGTTGGCTTCTTCATGCCCGTCTTTGTCGGCATAACTGTATGAGCCTGAAGCAGAGTGATAATCACTGACTTGGAACTTTGGCTGATGTTGTCCCAGTTCTTGGAGAGTACCGTAAGAACCTGAACGGCAAACTTTGGGGATTTTTTCAGATTTGACTCGTCAGACCTGCTTGACCCCAACTCTAGCAGAAAACGCAGCCATGGCACGACCTCCAGGGGCTCCCAGCCAAGCGCTTGCAGCTCGGCAGCAGAACAATGGTTGGTGTAAGCCATAGGTATAGTGCGCGGAGGAATTGGAAGATTCGCTGGAATCTTGTTCGGCAACTGATAGTTGGTAATGGAACCAAGAGCAATGATATCGCCTTGGTCGCTGCCATCTTCAGTGACCGTGGCAACCGCTACATCCAGAAGGCGAGCTTTGCTGGGAGGATCCAGTTCTCCGCTAAGTGCCTTTTTGCCGGCCCAGGCAATGAAATTGATGAGCTGCTCTTTGTTCATTGCCTTGGTTTCCAGCTCTGTCCGTACGTCATCAACAGTGATTGGGCTGATGAGCCCAAAGTCCATCAGCTTCCTAACGAAAGCATTCTCCATGAGCTCTCGAGGTACGACAGGGATGGTATCGACGAACTTGCTGAGCTCGTCAGAGCCAAGTCGGACCTTCGTGCTGGACAAAACACCTCTGGAGGAAAAGATTTCAATAGAAGCCTTCTTGAAGGCTGTCCAGAACGCTTCCTCGAGAATCTGGGACACTTGACCGCTTGGTGTAGAATCAGCGAAAGTGAATGTCTTCAGGATGTGCAGTGCTTCAGGTAAAAGCTTGGCGAGATCTTCTGCGCCAATTTTTGTCGCAGCTCCAACCATATTCTTGACTTTGGAGTCGAGGTCGCTCATCTCGTTAATGAAAGCAAGTCTTGTCATGATACCGGCCGCCCGGAGCATCTCGATGTTCCATGTCCTCACCCATCGTGCATTCAGGTCAATAGCCTCACGCTCAACCGTAGGAATGACTGATTGCGCCGAGATATGCATGCCGGCACCGGTTGTCTGCGTTGTGGGAAACCCGATAAAGATGCGGCCCCCGGGCTTCTTGCTGGGCAAAACTGAAGCAAACACGTCCACAGACTTTGAGATGGTGGCGGAGCGTGAACTCTCT